GGAAAATCTGAGCCGCAGAGGGTTCTGGGTGTTGGAAGCTGAGGACGGTCTGAGCCGTAGAGGATTCTAGGACTTGGAGGCTGAGGAAGGGCTGCGCCGCAGAGTGTTCTGGGAGTTGGAGTCCTGGGGGCGGGGCTAAGCCGCAGAGGAGGCTGGGAGTCGTAGTCCTGGGATAGCGTCTAAGGCCGCGGGGGATGCTCGGAGTTGCGGTCCCGGAGGTTGCTGGGAGCTTGGCGCTGGGCGTGGCTGGACTCCATGTCCCGGCATGTCCCGCGCCGGGGGTGCAGGCGACGCTGCGGGTAGGTGCTCCGTCTCCCCCGCGTTGGGCCTGCAGCGCCCCCTGGCGGCCCCGCCCCGCCCCGCCTCGCCTCAGTTTCCCCACCTGCATTTCGGGACCCCGCACCCCCCCTGCACCCCAGGGCTCGGGCCCAGGCGCCTGCGGCCGCCCAGCACCCCCTGGCTCGGCGCTGCCTGGGGCGCTCCGCTCGCCCGGCTTGGAGCAGGCCCAAGGCCTGGGGGGTCCTGTCCCAGGAGCCCTTTGCCGCCTCCAGCTAGTGGCGCCTGGGCAAGGACCCGGCTCGTGGCTGTGGGGAGATGCGGGTCCGGAGCCCGGTGGAGCACGGCGTAGATTTGCACCTGAAAGCAGAGGTTGATGGGGCGTATAGACGGGCACAGGGACGTGGACGTGGGAGTGAGCAGACACGATAAGGAGGTAGGTAGGTAGAGACAGCACAAGGTTGTGCGACCCCAAGCTGGCTGCGTCGGGTGCCGTGACAGGACGGGCCCGAAGCAGGGGGTACGGAGACGGGAGGATACAACCTTCAAGGGGGAGATGGAGGTGGCGGGGCAGGGCAGGGAGCAACCGGCAGCAAACCCGGGGGACCAGGAGTCATCGAAGCGAATCCAGACCACGAGAGACGAGCCCACAGGCCCTGCTGTTCGCGACGCCAGGCCGCCGGTTTGTTGGGCTTCCCTGGCCATCCCCCCCACGGTATCATGGAGAACGGGGCGAAGGGACTTGGGCAAGGGGGTGGAGTGAGGCGGTGACAGAGCCAGGCAAGAGCCCGGGCGTCCCGGCTCCCTCTGGGAAGCGTCACCCATGCCGCACGCAGCGAGCCTGGGCACCGAGGGAGCTCTGGGGCCATGGCCCTGCCTTTCTGCATCACTGTCGGGTCCCAAGTCCAGGCAGTTGGGCACTGGCTGGGTATTGTGATCAACAGGAAGCCGATGAGGGAAGTGGGCTGAACGGGCCCGGTTTCATCACCGTGGGGCAAGGCAGCTCCCGTCCGTGATCGGCGCTGGAAGGCATGGGGGCTGTGCAGTCCCTGGGGCTGCCTCCGGCGCAGGGACCTCACCAGGTGGGCTGCACCGACGTGATGGTGGGCCTGACCCGCAAGGTACGGTGTGGGGCATGGGGGGCGGCTCTAGGGCTGGTTTCCCGGGTGTGGGAGCCTTGGTTTTTTGGGAGCTGATCTCGCCCTGACTGCGGGGAGATGCCATGATCTGTCAGGTGGAGACACGCTGTGAGCTGTCTCCGCCATGATCACCCAGGTGGTTTTCCTCCTGGCAGGGGAAAACCATGAACATAGGACTCTGACTGAGGTTATGCAGTTCAAATGGCACTCTGTAGTGGAGGGTGCACCCCTGTTGGCTTGCAGACAGGGCACCCTGTGTGAACGTCATCGTTAGCCTCCCATTTAGGCTTCCAGCGGGAGGATGCCAACTCTATGGAAATAGGAGGCTTCTCCTTGGCTTACCCTCAGCTGTACGGCTGCAGGAGCAAACGAAACTCAGGGGCATTCGAACCCCAAGCCTCCAGGCTTGGGCCTGCACGTAGGATGCCCGCCGAAGGATTTGGAAGTATTTGAAGCCCCAGGCAGGGGTGGAGGATGTTTGCCAGTTGTAGGGCCACTTATGGTTCTTGAATGAGTCACACAGATTTGGAATTGATTTGGCTGATATGACTTGGGACACGAAACATTTTCCTTTTAAAAACAACAACAACAAAAAGGCTGATCTTTCCTTGAGTGGGTCACAGGGCCTCGCGGGGGCGGTTTGTAGTGACTCGGGGCTGAGGCATCTGAGCACAGAGCTCTGAGCTGTACATTTTATGCTGACTTGGGCTTGAGGCTTTCGGTCTCTTCCTGTCTCCTCTGCCTGGATTCTCTCTCCAGCTGCTTCACGCAGCCCCTGGCATTAGTCACAGAGGGTGACTGCTCGGTGCTGTGTAAGCCCTGGGACCAGAGCCTGTGCTCTTCGGATCTACTAAAGCCTGGTCTGTGCCCCAGGGAGCTTCCAGGCCAACTCTAAGACCAGGTGCAGCCCGTGGGTGTAACAAGCCGATGGGGGCAGGAGCAGGAGGGAAGGCAAAGGTGATGGCGGATCACTTAGTGCTTGGGTCCAAGGAGCGGCCAGCTCCTGGTGGAGTCCCGTGAAGTCTTTCTTTATCATCCCAGGGAGGCTGGTGGAGCAGGGCCAGAGGGGGGTATCGCCCCGGCTGAGGCCCCAGGTGGAGGGGGGCCGGGGAGGACAGGGGGCTGTGGGGTCTAGTACCAGAAGGGCGATGAGATCCCCGACTTGCTGCTTTTCCAGTCCATCCCTTCAGCATCTTTGTCCTCTCGCCTTTGGCCACAGGGTGGCTCCATGCATCAGCTCTGCCAGGCCTGATTCCATCTTCCCTCGCAATTTGGGAACCAGGAGCTCTAAATGATGAGCAGCCTTGCCAAGATGCAACCCATGGCATGAGGAGCGAGGCCCTGTGGGGGGGGCTCACGGTGAGGGGGACATCAGCTGCACTGACCCCAGCCGTGGGGAGAGGGTTCTGGGTGCCATTCCCTGGCCAGTTTGGGCAGGAGGTGGGTGAGAGGGTCCCCCTGGTCCCTTCCACCGAGTGAGGCCTGCCTCCCATTCAGAGCCTGACTGGATGGGGCATGTCTCACTGGTGCCTCTCTCCCCAGGGGCTCTTCTTCCGCCTCTTCTACCCCTGCCTGCCCCAGGAGGGCGTGGAGCAGCCGCTCTGGATCCCGCGCTATGAGTACTGCCGCGGGCTGGCTGACTACGCCAACCTCCACTGGAAGTGGTGCACCCCGCTGCTCAGTGTCGCCTTTGGTAAGCACGTCCCTGCCCCTGGCTTCCTGGGGTAGCCTGCTAGTCATGCCTGCAGTGGAGGCTGGGACCCCTGTCTCACCCCAGCACTACCACCTGGATGGGAGAGGGGCGTCCAAGGGGCGCAGGGCGAGACCCTTGGAGGGAATCTCCTTTTCTGTTAGAAGGGGCCATAGTGGGTCTGGTGCTGTCCGTGTGCTCAGGCACCCAGCATCCTTCCCCACTTCGCTCTGCCCCGAGGCCGGCCACCTTTCAGTGTCTAGCAGCTGATGAAGGCACCTCAGCCACTCGTGCCTTGGAGCCTAGGGAGGTTGGGATGCTCCTCCTGAGAGGAGGGAGGCTGGGAGGAGCCTTGCCCACCATAGCCCTGTGTCCAGCTGGAATCAGGACTCGAATCCTGTGGCTGCTGGGCTTGTGCAGGGGTCATAATTTCGCATGTCCCTGCAGGCTCTTTCAGGGTCCCAGTCAGCTGGAACGGGCCTTTTAAGCCATGCAGCAGCAAGTACCCACTGATCATCTTTTCCCATGGCCTGGGCGCCTTTCGGTAAGAGCCCCCAGCCCAGCCCCTGCCCCACTACAGCTCCATTTGGGTGGAAGGGAGCAGGATCCTGGCTGCAGAGGCAGTCGCTTCTCCTTTAGCCCCGATAGCCAGTTGGTCTGGATGCCCAGAGATGTCCAGCCTGTGGTGTCCAGGCTGAGCCCACGTTTGCCCCAGCCCGGCTGGGCAGCGGTTTAGTTAGGGGTGGGTTTCAGAGCAGGACAAGCTGCTTATGTGTGCCTTAGCCCTGAGCCAAACTCAGCGGGCATCATTGAGCATCGTGACACTGACAGGAGCTCCGTCTTTACGACCAGTTCCGTTCTCAGCTGGTCAGTGCCCCCCACGCCTGTCCCCACAGAGGTGGACTGAACACCACACAGATGTCAGCGCCCTCCAGCCCTTTTCACTGGGGTCACACTGACACTGCGAGCCCTCTACAGAGCATCCCGTGGCCCACTCAGCCTGGCCTCATTGGGATCAAAGCCACTGTAGACACAGCAAATGCATGTCTAGCAGGCAGGCCTCCAAGGTGGCTTCCATGTGCATGGGCCCAGAGGGCTGGCTGGCTTAATAGTCAGATGTGCTAGGCACCTGCATTCCCCCCCCCTTGCAGTCCGTGGAAGCCATGTGCTCTCAGCCCCTTTGGGATGGGCCTGCTTGTGGCTTGCCCAGTGCCAGAAGCAACCTGAGCCCGCTCAAGGCCTGTGCCTAGGTCAGGATCTTCCCCAGGGAGCCTGGCAGCAAGGCCCATGAGAGCCCAACCAGCTGGGAATGGGGCAGGGCCCAGAGACACCACAGGCCTGGTGCTCCCCAGATGTGGGTGGGTGGGAGCCAAGGGCACTTGATGCCCCTGGAGCCCTCATGGCATGTGCCCTGTGTCTGCAGGACAGTGTACTCGGCACTCTGCGCAGAGCTGGCCTCCCGCGGCTTCCTGGTGGCTGCGCTGGAACACAGGTGAGCGGCGACCCGCTCTGGCTGCCCCCAAAGCTAACAGGGGCCCTCCCCTTGAGGGGCCCTTGACCTTGCTGCGGCCCTGTCGTTGCAGAGACCACTCGGCCTGCGCCACCTACTTCTGCAAGGCTGGGGATGGGGAGCCCGGTGCCCCCGAGGCCGTACTGCAGGAGGAGTGGGTGCTGCTGCACCGCGTCCCCGCTGGGCGGAAGGAGTTCCACTTCCGCAACCCACAGGTAGGGCAGGTCATGGCACAGAGGCTGGGGAGACCGGCCTGGGCACAGTGGGCACCTGCTGGGCACAGTGGGCCGTCAGGGCTGGGAGATGAGGGTAGAGTCTCTGCTCTCAATTAAAGAGGAATGTTCCTTGCACTTGGGGTGATTGATGGGCATCGGCAGCCAGGGCTAGGAGCCTCGGGAGCCAGCGAAGCAGGGAGGCGGCAGGCGGCTGCAGTTTGATCGCACCAGTCCTCCCCCTGTTACCCCTGTGTGCCCAGAGGAGGGGCAGGCAGC